TTGTTTCATAATTTTGTTGGTGATGATTGGCTTGAGCTGTGGTAAGTTGACTGTAGGTTACGTCATTTGGTGCTGAGTAGTCCATTGTGGCTTTCGTCATCTGAACTGTTCCAGCCATTCCGGACATAGGGTTGTAGGACGGGTAACCAAGTACTTCGTAACCTTTTACATCGTATTTCTGTTCTGGGGATATGATACTGCTAATCGAAAATGGATGTGCGAAGGATGGATGCTGACTGTGGGTCATGACGGAATGCATTGGGTGATGCATCGGTAGGTGCATGGGCATCTGCGTGGGACCTAGAGGACGGTTTGGTGTCATGTTCATGCCAGGAGCCGCTGCCATTGATGGCACAGGTTCCTCTTTTGGTATCTGCTGCACTTGTTGCTGCGGGTGCTGAGGTGAATGGATGCTGTGAGGGTCGTTGTTCGAATCTAGATGGTGTGTCGGTGAAGTCGTTGTACTTACTGAGTCTGTAAGCCTGCTGCCTTCAGAGGTAACGATATCGTCGTCGCCCGGTGATGACTTTTGTGGCCGGAGTTCTTTCTTGATACATTTAAAACGTTTCTGGCGGCGGAGATAGCAGCCGTTCTCAAACATGTTCCCCGCGTCTGGATGGAGCGTCCAGAAACTTCCTTTTCCAGGACGATCGGGTGTACGAGGAACTTTTAAAAAACAGTCATTGAAAGAAAGGCTATGGCGGATAGAATTTTGCCACCGTTGTTGATTTTGCCGGTAGAACGGAAACAGGTCCATAATAAACTGGTATATATCGCTCAATGTTACCATTTTCTGTTGGGATTGCTGGATAGCCATAGTGATGAGTGAAATGTACGAATACGGCGGTTTAGCGTGCGTGTACGATCGTCTGTAGGTTTTCTCGGCGCGAACTCGATTCAAATCGGCGGCCTGTGCTTGAGCTAGTCGCATACTCATCGGATTGTTCATTGGGGCCATGGTCATGGCTTGCATTGGTGTCATCGTGTTCATGGGATTCATACCCATTCCGTGGGGCGCCATTCCGTTAATATTACCTTGCATGGCGGCACCCATTGAATTCACTTGCGACATTGACATTGTCATAGAGCCCATTCCGGCAGAATGTGGTCCAGTACTGCTAGCATAGGTGTTCATGCCACCCATAGCGTTCATGTGCCCCATGGTGTTCATGTTCACGGGTGATGCACTATATCCTGGCTTAGGTGAAATCATGCCTGGATGTTCAATGTTTGCCTGGGGATGCCTAACACTCAGCGTCAAGTGAATAGTTCTCGTCCGTGTACACACGCCACTTCTGTGATTACACACCAAATATTCCTTCTTCAAACTCTGGTCTGTTTAGTAAGCTAAGTACAGATGAATCTGTGATTGTGTACTCACTACAGCAGTCAAATGATCACCGTTGACTGACCCCGTAAGTAAATAACCACCAATTAATTAGTCCCTCCCCGCCTATTGTGACTACGTCAAACGAATCGAGCGATTCTATTCGTCAATTACCTGGCCCTTTATCGCCTAACACCCAATTACAATGCCCGTCACTTTTTACTTTAGGTGTCCATCACAGCTTTTAAAAGTTACTTATCACGTATAAACCTGAGCCGCAAGGTAAAGCCCACAACATCGTCAAAAGCAACAAGCATAAAAATGAAAAGATGTCGCGGTGGATTTTGCGGTGATATCCAATTTGCTGTTGCTAATTTAACTAAATTATCATATCAACTGATATTGAATTATTATTGTGTATTAAACATTGACTCAAAAAGAGGACAGAAAAAAAAAATATATTGCAGAGGGACCATTTGGTGT